ACCATACAAAGTTATTATAATATTATTGGCTATATTCCCTATGCTGTCCTTTTCATCCCTATAACTTATTCTTTTCATAACTGGAGATTTGTACATCTTAATCCCCTTCACACATCTCACCCATCCCCCCGGTGGCCTCCCCTCTGGCGACCACCAGCTTCTCTATGTTTGAGTTTCTATTTTTGTTGTTGTTCATTTGTTCTGTTTTTCAGGTCCCGTGTACAAATAGAATCACATAGTATTTGTTTCTGACTTATTTCACTTAGCATAATACCTTCTAGGTCTACCTGTGTTGTCACAAATGAACGGATCTCATTCTTTTTTATGGCCAAGTAATGTCCCATCACACACACCCCCACACATATACTTTATCCATTCGTCTATCAGTGGACACTTAGGTTGCTTCCATATCTTGGTTATTGTAAATAATGCTGCTATAAACATAGAGGGTGTGTATATCTTTTTGAATTAGTGTTTTCATTTCTTTTGGGCAAATATAGCCGGAAGTGGAATTACTGGATTGGATTATGGTACTTAGATGGCTGGCAGACACATGAAAAGATGCCCAACACCACTGATCATCAGGGAAATGCAAATCAAAACCACAATGAGCTATGACCTTACACCTGTCAAAATGGCTAAAATAATAATAATTTTAAAAAGACAAGAAATAACAAGTGTTGGTGAAGATATAGAGAAAGGGGAACCCTTGTGCACTACTGGTGGGAATGTCACTGGGGTGCAGTCACTCTGGAAAACAGCATGGCAGGTCCTCAAAAAACCAACAATAGAAGTATCAGTCAGCTTTCTTAATGCCCGGGTGGGAATGAAGAATGAGAACGGACACAAACAAACCCTACTCTGGCCAACTCAGTCATGTATAACACCTAAACTACCAAGTTCTAGTCATTCTTTGCAAATAAATAAAATGGCATTATTGGAGTTGCTTTTACTGGCCACTAAAGGCTGGGCAGAAAAATAAGTATCTCCTGTTCTTTTCAGCACATGGGAAGCATAAAGAGGACTTTGTAAAATAATACCTTCTCTTTACTAAATTTGTATTATGAGCCAGTTGCTATGGGGATACTATCTCCTGAGGCACGTATTAATAATGTTCCCTTACCTTCCCGAGGTCTCTGACACTCAGAGAGGGTAAGTTACTCGCACGGGATCACACAGCCCGTAGCTAGTCAAGCCAGAGTTCTAAATCACGTCTGCCTAACGCCGAGGCCCATGCCTTTCTGGCTCACGGTGCTAGCTTTCCAAAAACTAATCTGAGCACTGCTGCAACACCGTGGCAGGATTCAGAAAGCGGTGCCACAATAGGTAGCCCTGAGGAATTCAGAGAAGAAATAAGTATTAAAGTCCAGGTGGCACCTGTATATGGGGCAAAAAGGATGGGAGAAGCTCAGAGGGTGACTCATTGCCTCTGCACAACGCCCCTCCTTCTCTGTTCCAAGTCTCCAACAGGAATCGGGCAGGAAGAGTGGATATTAAAGTAATTGCCTTCCTTTTAATCAGGGCCTGTCCTTTCCAGAAAGTCACAGAGGCTTCCAGAATATTCTCCCACTGATTTTTGCAATGGCCTTGCTTCTGTTTTCTCAAATATTATTCGGCCATCATCACTCATACAGTTACTGTTTTGATTTCTCCTTGCAAACTTACAAACTGTGTGAGTCCTGTTAATTCTAGGTTCAAAGAACTCTCTGACTGAGGCATATTCCCAGAGCTCCTCTTGTTCCGTTTTGTGGCCCCAGAAAAGGAGAAAGCTCTTTGAAAGTATCACAGTGTTATAAAAAAAAAAAAATACTATGCTTAGAAACCTGTAGTACTTTTCAATAACGCATTTTTACCTCCCTTTACGACGACCTTGAAAGGTTTTATCTTTCCCTATTTTACAAATGAGAAAACGGGCTCAGAGAGTCAGTGCGACCTCCCCAAAGCCACACAGCATCTAAGACAGAGTGGGGCATTGACCTGGGTCACTTGGCTTCACAGGCCTGTGCTTTTTTCCATTAGATAAATGGTCACACTCATCATCATCAGTCCTGAGAAGAGGCAGTGGTGGTACGCAGTGTGACTGATGCCTTCTTAAAAATCTCCAAACCAGGGACGCCTGGGTAGCTCAGTGGTTGAGCATCTGCCTTGGGCTCAGGGTATGATGCCAGGGTCCCGGGATCGAGTCCCACACCAGGTTCCCTGCATGGAGCCTGCTTCTCCCTCTGCTTGTCTCTCTGCCTCTCTCTGTGTGTCTCTCATTAACAAATAAATAAAATCTTTAAAAAAAGAAAAAAATCTCCAGGCCAAGCAACTCCATCTTGTTCCAGGCACTGTCCAGAGGAACTCACATTCCAAAACCACTGGCCTCCTTCCATCTGCTAAGTCACTGCTGTGCCCCTGGCTGCTCAGCTTTGTCCTCCTCTGCTGAGTGCGGCTGCCTCATGTGGGGCGCCTCTGGCCTGCTTCTTCCCCCTCCTCCCTTCTGCATCCCGGGGTCCCCGGATGGAGCCCAATTGTACTTTAATCTCCTTTTACTGTTCTGCCAACTTGCCCAGGCTCCCCCAGACGTCTCCTTACTTTGAGCAAATGCTCCTGCATCGCTCTGGGACTAGTCTAATCCTTTTCTCCCTTTTTACATGTTAATGCTCTGATTTACAGCAGCAGTGCCCGATAGAAAAAAATAAATGAATAAGCAAACAAAGACATTCCTTCTGTTCTACATTTTGCAGGGTAGCGATGGGGAGCGAGGCAGGAGAGGGACTTCTGGGGTGCTGGCTGGGTTCTATTTTTGGATCTGGGTGTTGCTTACACAGGTGTGCTCACTTGGAAAACATGCACCAGGTTGTGCACATGTGATCTGTGTGGTCTTCTATGGCCTCAGGCTGCTTCAGGGTTGAAGAAGCGGCCCCAAGAAAGGGCGGTTCATAAAAACCTATGGCTGGAAATGAATAAGGATCACCCCGAGTCCGAGGCTGTCCCTTTGGGCGAGCATCTCCTTGACCTCGCAGGCCATTTCAGGAGATCCAGTCCCTAAATCCAGGGAGGGACACTGTAGCATCTCCTAGGTCACCCTATCACATATGTTGACCAAGAAAGTCGTAACTTCTCGGGAACCTTTCTCATTTTAGGAGTCAAATCTGTAGAGGCTGTATTCTGCTTCCTAACTTAGCAAGGATCTTAAAATTAATAGAGATCTGCCTTAAATCCTCTAAATGGGTACCCTTCAAGGATGGATGTCAATAGATAAATGGTTAGTAATTAACTGTCATGCCCATCCCTGGAACAGTCCGTAAGTCTGCAGTGACTGTCTCCTGGACATGCCACGTCCTTGCAAATCTCCAAGTATGTGGATATGAGGATCCTTAACCCAAAATGCTCTTCCTTTATCTAGAAGAGACTTACCCCTCTTTTAGGGCGGATCCCAAAGATCCCTCCTTTGATGAAGCATTTCCTGCCTGCTTCACACTGAGCAAAGGGCCCCTGCTCCAGGATCTATAGCATTTTGTACACACATCTAATAGAATTTACCATTTTGCACTACAATAAGTACTTCGAGTTTTTCCAAGGCTCGCTTTGTTTCTTAGTTCCATTTTAATCCCTAGTGCCTGGTCTGGTCCCTATTACATAAGAGGTACTCAGAAGTACATCTGCACAGAAGGGCTGCTGAGTTGAGTGATCTTGACATCTCATGCATTTATAAAATAAAATAAACCTCTTCTCTGAATGATTGTTTCTAACAACTCTATTTGTAACAGCCCCAAGCCGGAAGCAACCAAAATGTCTCCCAATAGGTGCATGGCTAAGCAAACTATGATACATGTACACCAAGAAATGTGACTCAGCAATAAAAAGAACAAACTAGTGATTCAGGCAATGACTCGAATGGTCTCCAGGCTCGTCGTACATACTGAGTGAGAAAGGTCAGATACTGAATGACTCCATTTCTATAACATTCTTGAAATTATAAAACTGTCAAAATGGAGAACGGATTAGTGGTTGCTAAGGGTTAGAGATGGTGGGGAAGAGGGTGGTGAGACCATAAAATGGCGGCATGAGGAAGATCTTTGTGGTGATGAAATGGTGTCTTGGTTACAGTGGGATTGACATATACCTACATAGGACGTTTTGATGTCCTGGTTTTGAAACCATATGGCCATTATGTAAGATGCAACTCCTGGAGGAAACTGGTTAAAGATACATGGTACCACTCTGTACTCTCTCTGCAACTCCTCCTATGAACCTATAATCATTTCAAGTGAAAAGTTATAATTTTTTTTTTAGAAAAACCAGTTCTCTGAGGTTCTTTCTAGTCTCTGAGTGTGTATCCTTCACAAGAACCATTCACATCTCTTAATATTTTACAGCTTCAAAATGCTTCCATGTAGATTAAACTATGCCACTTCAAAATGACAGCAACTCTATGACATATGTGCTCTCATCCCCATTTTACAGATAAGGAAACCAAGGCTCAGTGCTTGTTGAAGGGCACATGGTTGGTTGCATGTGGCAAAGCCAGTGTTTCAACCTGACTCAATCAAATTTCTACAGATCTATTTTCTTATCAGCAAAATAAGGGGATTTGGCCAAGACAGCCTCTGTAAATGCATCCAGTTCTAATACTGTATGACGCATGCACTTTGTGCCCTAGCTGTCCTACTTCTAAGTTACCATAAGGGTCTGTCAATGCAGTGACTGGACTGCAGGCCAGTAGATGGCCTGTAGAGGAGATACATCCATCAGAACCACTGTTAGGAGGTGGCGGCATTTGATAGAGGCATTCGACTCCCCAGATTCCCATCCTCCCAAGGCTAAGAGTTGTTGAGATGAGAATCCCAGTCACTCCTGGACTTTCATGTTTCTAGAATGCCCCATCTCTCTGGTTGGTTTCTGTTCCTTTGTTTTTCCCCATCCCCCATCTCCAGAGCTTCACTTGGTCACACTCCACTGACCCTAGTTATTGATACTGTATGCCAAGGAGGTGAGCTGTGAAAATGTCTTACCAGATTAGTGAAGATGTATGTGTAATAGGCCGACACCATCCCTAGTTCAGCTGCCTGCAAATGGAAGAGAAGGAGATTAGACAGAAAACAGAAAGCCACAGGAAGTGAAAGAGCATGAGGGCTCCAAGGGTCCGCCATGTGTCTGGCCCACTACCCTTTGGTCCTCACGCTGCCCTTGACTTGAAGGATGGAGAAGAGAAACACTGGCCTCAGAGAGTAGGGTGTCTCCATCGCCACCCTGCTCTCCAGCCCTGCAGTGACATTCATAGACAATGATGTTCTCATGTATGACACATTCCCATGGATATAACCAGATATCATGGAAGCCAAAATGACTTTAAGGGAAATGAAGCAAATAATAAAAAAGACTAAAATAATTATCTCCCAAACTATTAGCAATAATAGTGGCTACCATGTACCCATTATTTAGTATGGACCAGGCACTAAAAAGTCTTTCGCTTGGGTTAAGTTGGTGATGGAGGCACCATCATTCCTCTTCCACCCCCCTATCTAACAGCTGATGAATCTTGAAACACCAACAGGCTCTGTAACTTGCACAAGATCACATGTCTCGAAAGTGGGAAAAGATGAAATTAAAGCCAAGCAGCCTAATTTCAGTCCTTTCAACCAAACTATCCTCTCCCAGAGGACCGTGATTTCGATGCAAGTACCGACAACCCTCTTAGGGGCCGAGGCAGAGACGGGAGAGTCTGCAGTTGTAGGTAATTCCCAAATTAATCCAACTCCTGTCAAAGGCGAGTGCGTGAGACTCCTAAGAGTCTTTGAGTCTGCAGTGATGTAGGAAACAAGTGAATCATTTGCAAACTTTGGTCTTTCATTAGTGGTAAGGAACAAGTTGCTTGTGACATGCTTCACCCTTGATCACAGCACACCCGCATGTCCTCGTGCCACAGTTGGGAGGCTCGACTTCAGAACAGCCTCCTTTTTGTCTGATCTTTGTAGCCATCACAGACACCCCTCACCAACCTCCCCTGTCAGTGTGCCCGACTTTGAGTGTGACAGGTGCTACAGAGGCCGACAAGGAGATCAGGTAAATAATGAGCCCAGCTCTCCCCAGGGCCCTCATGCCTTCTGACAGGCAGATTTTCATCATGTATCCTGCAGCCCCAGGGCCACTGGGAAACCGCTTTCATCCTGCCTGTTGGGGTGCATGAGGGGAAAACAAGACCAGGGGTGATTACATTTCCCTCTTACAAAGCATTTATGTCTCAAGGAACTCTAATAACTTTGTGAGTGTTCTTGCAGGAACCCTTACAGGGCTCCTGTGAGAGTAGCCTGGGGTACTTCTATCGTCAGCATTCCGATGGAAAATGAAGTACAGAAGGGCTCCAGGCCTGGGGCAAGATGATGTGGGGGTCACATGGGGCCCGAGGCTTCTCTTTTTCCTCCAAGCAAAACTACATTTCCTCCTTCACTTCCAAGGGGCCGGTACAGCCTGCTGCTGGCCTCCTCTCATCTCTGCACACTCAACACTGTCCATCTAAAAATGCCATCGCCTGTCACCACTGCCTAGACAGGAGGGAGCCCCGGTGACCTGGTTACAGAGATGAGCTGGGGCCGGGGGATGGGGAGAAGGCACCGTCAGATGGTTAAAACCCATCTGTGAGATCTGCTGCCCAAAGATAAAAGACAAGGGATCCTTGGTTTTTAAGACCTGAATTCTGGGTAAACAAGAAGTTTGTTGCTGGAACAGCTGCTCAATAAAGTAGGGGATTACTCTGCAAATCCTTCTGAAATCAAGAGACAGCAGAGTGCCGCCAAGCTCCAGGGTCAGGCTCACGGGGGCACAGCAAGGGTCCTGGAAGCTCCAGGTGTGCTCTTTGCTCACACTGCTTCCCACATGGAGTCCATCCTCTCTGGGGTGCCCCCAAGGCTGTGCTATAACCCCCAGCGAGGATGAGCCTGCAGCCTGAGTCCAAGCCCCATGCACAGCCTGCCTGCTGGGGACACTAGGGAGTCAAATGGGAACAAAGGGGGCCAGTTTCTGAAGTCCCACTGGGTAGTCATGGGCTTGGTGCCAAGGTCACAAGGGCTGAGGCCAATGGGTGGTTTCAGGAAAGCCTACTACTGGCCACCAAGCAGAACCACTTGCTAATAATCATCATTGCAGGGAGCGTTTTCTTCAAAAGCACAGCCATTTAAAAAAAAAAAAGTGTTTTTAATGAAAATACCCAGTATTGGCAAGGGTACTATAAGACACCTATACGCTGCTGGTGGGAGTATAAATTGTTATGGCCTTTTAAAAAGGCAATCTGGCAAATCATATCAAAATGCTTAAAAGCATGCATATCTTTAACTGAGTAATTTCACTTCTGGAAATTTATGCTAAGAAAATATTCATGAATGTGCATAAAGATTTATGTACAAAAGATGTGCATCTCGCATTGTTTATTATAGCAAAAGATTGAAAACAACCTGTATCTCCAACAATAAAGGGATGGTTAAATAAATTATGGTACATCCATATGATAAGAAATGATGTAGCCATTAAAGTATTTGTAGACAAATACGTAATGACATAAGCAAAATGTGGGGCATATAATCAAGTGGGAAAAAAAGTATGTTACAGAAGAGTATGTGCAGGCTGATGATAATTTTGAAAAGAAACAAATGTGTCTATAAAGGCAGAAAGGATAGACATCAAAATTTCACAGTGGCTGTCTCCGGGTGATGGAATGTCTTTCTTTTCCATGTGCACCTGTAAGATTTTTCCATCATGTCCCAAACTAAAGGTTTGTAAGAGAAAAAGAAAAGGCTATAACGATTTTTTATTTTCTTCTATGTACTTTTCTGTACTTTCCAAAATTTTAACAATAGACATTTTTTTAAAAAGAGCCCAACCACATATGCTGGAAGTCATGAAATATTCCTGAGGGTCTTATATTATTATTATAAGGGCTGCCCCCAAAAGGCTTCCATCAGTCGGTGGGGGGTTGTTCAGGCAGGCTCTGGCCACTGCAAAGGGCACTGTGCATCCTGTCTACCCTCTGTAAGGGGCCCTAGGGGGACAGTTATCTTATTCTGTGCCCTTCATCTTCCCCGAGGTCTCCTCAGCCTGTCTCTCTGAGGCCCTGAAACTTAGAGGATCTTTTCCATCTTTGATGACTTCACTGATCATAGGCCCAGACACGAGAAAAGAAAAAGAGAGAAAATTTCCATTTGAGTGTGCGTGTATGTGCGCGTGTGTGTGTGTGTGTTGAGTGTATGCACCCAGACAGACGTGGGTTTGGAGCTGTGGAGAGTCACTATAGCAACGGACTGAAGGGACAGCCCTCAGAGAACTCATTCAAATCTCTTATTAACTCCGAGACAAAAACTAGCTGGGGAGGGGGAGGTTTGGATGGGGAGGGGGAGGAGGAGGAAGAGACAATCATCGAGTGTCTGCTGGGCTCCTCACAGCTTGGCAGAGGTTAACGAGGAGCCTCGCTCCCCCAATGGAAGATGGCAGGTTGCGTTTAAATGTGCAATTAGAGTGGCATTAGAGGAGGCCCCTGTGCCTGGAGGGGCCGGGGGAGCTGCTGGGAGCCTTGGAGCAGCCTGCAAGCGGGGCTCACCTTTCTGGGGTTGATGCCTAGCCTAGCCACCAGCCCAGGAACTGGTGCCCGGGGACTCCAAGGCTACCCAGCTGTTTCCAGCTGTTTCTCCAGAGGGTGGAGCCCCCACAACCCTGCCCCCCCACCCCCTCCCTTGGACTAGACTTTTGTCCTGGTCTCTCTCGTTGTCAGATGGGAGAGAACTCTCCCTCACAGAGTTCCAGTTTCCGTCACTGTCCGCTCTGATTCAGACACTGCCACCCTGCCCCTTGCATTCTGGGGGTAGAAGAAAGTGCTGATTGGCTGTCAGGCACAACAGGTATCTGCTCAGCTGTGCTCCTCAGTGGTGCAACCTTGGGCAAAGCCATTCATCAACTAGAGTCTTGGTTTCTTCACCTGTCCAGGGAAGATGGGGGTACCTGCCCCATTGGGTCACTGAGGGGATCAGGCTGGGAAGTCACATGGTAGCATTTTGTAAACCGTTCGGAGCTCACACAGAGGGCAGACGCTCAGCGGCACGCATTGTCAAAATATGGAAATACTTGTATACCACTTGGCACACAGCCTCTGCCCCAAGGCCACCAAGTGCCTCGGCCCCTCCCGGGAACCCACAGACCCACAGGCGGGGAGGGTCAGCTGCAACCAGGAGTTAACACTCTTACAGCATCACCCTCTTCTTGCCTTTCTTTTTGGCGACACCCAAGGCAAGGAGGGAGCAGCCTACCAGCTCAGGGGGAGGGAGGAGGAGGAGGAGGATGCTCTGTGCCCACCGTGCCCGCCCCAGCCTGGCTCCCACCTTCAGGAGGATGGTGTGGGACATGGAGGCGTTGGCATGGATGATGATGGTGGCTGTCTTGTCATCCCGGATCTCCTTGAGGAGTGGGGTGGGGTCCCGGGTGTCATCCAGCATCCGGACCGAGAGCGTGTCCTTGGAGATAAGGAATTGCCGGAGCAGCTTCTCCAGGTTCAAAAGGCCTGGAGGAGAGAGAGGATGAAGCCCCTGAGGGTCCACGTGCTGTCCTGGGAGACACAGGGCCAGAGGTAGGGCCGTGGGTGTGGCCCACTGCTGGTGCGAAGCAGCAGCCCCCTTAACTGAGCAATGTTCTCAACCTCTGGGGACGTGGGTATTCCCGTCTCAAGGACAAAGAATATACCTCAGCCCCCATGGCTTCCCCCAGCTCCCTAGGGAATGTTCTTTTAAAGAGAGATTGAGGTCCATTGAGGACCCCCACCCCCACCCCAGCCCTCAGGAGCAGCACCACCCAGCGGCCAAGACCCAGGTTTAGAGACCAGCAGGCCTAGTTTTCCCCCCTAATTTGGCCACTTATGCACCAAGTGACCTTCTCATGTGGTCAGGGCTCTTGGCTGCAGTTCTCTCCTGTAAGAAATGAGAATAACAGCAACCAGCTCACAGGACCATGTTGAGGATTAAATAAGGTAAGATGTGAAGGGCTCAGGCCCAAGCCTTGTCCATTGTAAAGGCCCAGAAATGTCCCATCTAGGGGTACCAGAGCCCGGCCTTTGTTTTCACTGTAGATGCTGGGGGGTGCAGTCGTCTCAAGATCGCAAGGCCCAGGAAAACAAAACCCCTTTGAACTCCTCAGAGCACCGTGGCTGCATTAAGTCAAGGTATTATTATGATTACAAGAGGACAGGCTTTGAACTCCACTCCAATGGGCAACAATATGGGCCTAGAACAAAATGAAAATGTGGGATTGTGAGCCAAGGCCTCTCCCCTCCTCCCACCAGCTATCTGCTGTCTAGGAGCAGGGGGGTAGGAGGAGGGTTTCCAGAATGACATCGCTGAGACACAAGCATCTTAATTCAGCTTTGTTGCTGTGAAGGCAGGCGAGCAAGAAGATGTGGGTGGGGGGTCAGGGGGTGTGTGTGGGGGCTCTCCTGGGAAGATGGTGGTCTCAGCTCTAGTGGAAAGAGAAGTACAGGCATTTGCTCCTAAAAACAAGAGTTACATTTATTGAATCCTTATTGTGTTCCAGATAATGAGCTAAATATTCCACATGGCTTGTGTAAGTCCTCACAACAATCCGACAAGGCATCTTAATCCTACACACAGAGGGGAACACGAGGCAAAACGATGAGTAGCTCCCAGACATGGCTCCACACGTTGGACGGCAAGGCAGGGGTTGGTTTTCTCACCAGAGGCCCCCATGCTCCGGTTTCTGCTCCAACCACAGGACAGTGACTGCAGGGATGTCCTGAAAGTGACCCCAGACTCCTCCCTGCGCAGCTTCCTCACCCTCCTGACCCTCAGGATCAGGTGAGAGAGAGGGTTCTGAAGGGCATGGCGGCCACCTCCCTTGATTCGCAGAGATGCCAAGACTTGCCTAGTCACTCAGGGGTACGGCAGGGGCCAGGGTTCCCCCTTTCCCATCTCCAGAGACCAGATGCCTCTCAGGACACAGCCAGCAGGGGTAGCAGGTGTACAGCCTGGGGCACGCATCTCTGGACTTGGGAGGAAAGCCCATGCTGGGTGTGTTTTCTAATAAGGAGAAGGTAGCAGGGTGGGGCCCAGGGCCTGGCATGATGCAAACAGACCTGGGAATCTGGTGCCAACACCCATGCTCCAGTTGGTCATGGGTCCCCAGAGGGCAGTCTGGGGGGCTGAGGGCTACAGCGGGCAAGGGAAAGCCCTGCAAGGGGCTGTCACTCCAGAGGCTTCAGAACCGGCTGGCCTCTCTTCCTTCCCCCACAGTGCCTCGAAGGGGACTTGTAAATCTCGCCCTCCACCTCCCTGCTGTCTGCGCCCCCTGTAGCCCCTCACCACACATCGGGAGAGGTCCTGATGCTGCTGGGGCATTTCCTGCCAACCCTGACTTGCAGAAGATTGGAATTCAAGCTCACCATCTGCCCTCACCAGTTGTATCACCTTGAGAAGTCATCTGACCTCTCTGAGGCTCTGTTCTTCACCTGCAAAATGGGTGTAACAGGTGAGAGCGCACAGGGACATGGTGTAGAAGCATGCCGGGAACGGGAAAGTCTGGTTTCAGTGCTCCTTCTCCTGCATTTACTCATCCCCGCAATAGCTCAGGGGTAGGGGTGGCTCACTGAGGCAGAAAAAAAGGATGAAAGTGCAAAGCTGTGTGCCCTCAGTGCCAGGCATGGGCCGCCAAGACGTCAGCAGAGAAGGTGGATCAGATTCAGACCCTGCCAGCTGGGAGCTCAGTGCAGGGTCTTGCAACTGAGTCTATGACAAAGTTCAAATTATACCCATACTTTGTTTGAGAGTCTGATTCATCTGGTTTTCCACGGGGCCAGCCTCATTTATATCTATATGTCAAATGGAGAGAATATTCATGATGTCTTCCTCAGAGATGACGTGAAAAGCAAAATCCAACTTGCACAAAAGTCTGAGTACATGACCCCAAAGACACGGTCACGGGAGGCCACAGAGCTGGCATTCCTGGAGTGCTGGCCATCTCTTTGGCTCAAGGAAAGATCCGCCCGGGCTACGTGGGAGGGAGCACCGCGGCTGGAGGGATGGCCGAGGACAACGCCACGGGTCCTGGAACGTAGCGGGTAAAGTCTCTAGAGCCCGGCTGGTTAGGAGGCCAAATCCCCTGGGATCCTTCCGAGGGGCAGTGAAGTTCAGTGGGATGTGACAGAAAAGCTTGGAGGACAGCAGGATTAGGCACAGCATGGAGATGCCTGGCCAAGGCAGCCTAGAGACTGTTCATCCCTTTAAATCTGTCAGGAAGAGCCCCCCGGATGGCAGATAAACTGGGGAGCCTGCTCCAATCAATGCCCAGCATGCCCCCACCCGACAGCCCCATGGGGTGCTCTGCTGCCCTTTAACCCAGGAAGTAGTATCCCCATCCCATCCAGCACACTATCATGTGTGTGCTGAGAGGTAGGATGGGGACAGTGAGGGCAGCAGGTCTTTGGGGGTGGGGGTGAGGTCTGCATCCCACCCAGGATCTCCTATCGCTTTCTCTGCATCCCACCCAGGATCTCCCATCACCCACTCCTTTCTCTGCATCCCACCCAGGATCTCCCATCACCCACTCCTTTCTCTGCATCCCACCCAGGATCTCCCATCACCCACTCCTTTCTCTGCATCCCACCCAGGATCTCCTATCACCCACTCCTTTCCCAGCCTGGACCGCACCTGGAGCAGCAAACAGAGCACAGGGTGGCAGGTGAGTCTAGCTCCAGTGCTGCTAGGATTGGCTGGTGCAGGCGATTCCCTTCACCCTTCTGCCCCTCAGTGTCCTTACCTGTCAAGTAAGGACAACTGCTACCTTGCGGGGTTAGTTAGAGGATGTCAAGTAAGCAGGACAGTGCCTGTTCCCTAGAAGATGCTTCACCAATCTGATTTCCATTCACCCCCTCCTCACCCACTCACATCCTAACTGTCCTTCACCCATCTCCTTCTCCTACTGGATTTATTATCCAATCCACAAAATATAGTCCTGGGTTTTAAACCAATGTAAAATACTTGCTAGCATATACGCATGCATATATATATATATATAGTAGAGGATATATACAAACACTAAGTATTTCACGGTGTTGGGTAGGAATTCCCACTTGGAACTCTCCTACACATGCCCAGTGTGCGGCAGGGTGTACCGCGCTTGCCAGGGGGCTGAACTAGAGACTGAGGCCACAGAGGGGGAAGAGTGAGAGTCCACATCCTAGCAGAGCAGGGGAGTCGCAGTGCCAGGTGGGGAGTGGACCCCATGTCACTTGAGGAGCAGCTGAAGGAAGGGGTGCCTGGCTTGAGGAAGAGTGGGAAGGACCATCATGAACCAGATTTGCTCTTGGCAGCCTCAAGGACTACGCTCCAGAACAAAGAGTGGATGGAGGTCAAAAGACACTTAGCTCTGTTCAAGGAGTCTAAAGACGCAGTGGTAGTGAGTTCCCTGTCGCTGGAGGTAGTTAAGGAAAGATTGAAGCCCCTCTTGCCAACTGTCAGCAAGTGAATTAAGCCAGTGGATGGTAAGTCGGACTCCAAGAACATTGATGTTTTTCCAGCCCAGGGATTCTCTAGTTCTATGAATCAGAAAGGGATCCTTTTTTCTGTTAGGCAGTGGAAGGAATCTGGAAGGGAACGTGCGGTTTAGTGACATTAAGAACATTAGGAGTTTTTGTGTGCAGTGTAGAATTTTCCAAATGTCATTCTCCTCAACTCTACCTGTTTAATGGAACTAAGGGATTTATGGAAGGCAGCTGCCCCCAGAGGGGTTAAAAGCTGCTCTCTTCCTGGCTTCCCCTCCACCTCCATCCCAGCCCTTCTCTCCTACGGGGGCCTGTGGCCCAGCAGCAGGTCTGCCTGCCAAGTCCAAGGCTGAGAGGGACCTGGGGAACCTATTAGTTTCGCTCAGGATGCTACGGGGTAGATCGATGAGAGCCTCAGCAGGCCGGCTGTTCTGGGAAGCAGGAGGGAGGCAGGAGGCCAGACAGGGTGGGAGGAGGATGGAGAAGCTGTGAAAGGCAGAGCCGGGTTTGGTCAAGGCCATAGGACAAGGACACAAATACCTTAAGTGATGGGTCTGCAGGGGACACAGAGGGCCCTTGTATCAAAAAAATAAGAATAAACACCCATTTCAACTGGCATCCGTCCCTCTCCACTGGCTGATTCCCTTGGCTGCAGGCGCTGGCTCTGGAAGATGCTAGTCCTCCCAGGAGGGACAGCAGTTTTAAATCTTGCAGGAGGCAGGGATGTAACACTGACCTCAGGGGACTGTGGGGAGGATTTAGGGAGATAACACGGTTCCCACTGTGCCCACACTGCCCTACACTTGGTAAGGCTTTGTTTCCTTTCCCTTTGCCAGGCCACATGCCTCAGGGTGTGTGGTTTTCAGACCTTCTCCATGGAGCACATTCTGATGGGGAGACGGGAATGGAAGTCCAGGAGGTCGCCAGTGGGGAAGGGGCACAGAGCAAGTTCAAGTGTTTGAATGATGCGCGGCACCTGCTTTTCGGTCCTGTCTCATTCCACAGCTGGGCTTGGCCCCGGGAACAGGCAGGGGAGACCAGGACACAGGAGACAGAGGAGGAGACAGAGAGGGGATGGAGAAGGAGGTGAGGCTTCCTGCGCACAGGAGGACCGTGCTGTGCCTTGCGTGGCCCTGCAGCTTGCCCTCTTCTCTGGCAGCAAAGGTGGGCGTCGTGAGAACCTGGTCTCTGCACTCCTGCTGCCTAACTTTGGGGCGTGTGTCCAGCGTGGGCTCAGCTAGTGACTGCCCTGAGCAGGCTTCAGTGTCTCCTCGGCTCCTTCACACACACTTGATTTAACCCCACAGGGCTCTGGGAGGGTAGGTGCTCCTGGGTGCGAGGGGGCAGTGACAGGTCACAGAGCTAGAAAACCCAGGACGGGCCAAGACCCAAACCAGGTTTCCTGATTCCGACCTCCCGCCTCTGATTCCTACTTGAGTTGGCGTGGCAAGGCGTCAACCCAGCCATGAAATAGGAAAAAATGGTCCCTCCCTTCTGTCTTTTCCACAGTGTTCAGAGAAGCAGGGAGAGGAGGTAATAAGAACCGTGTGTGGGGTTGAAAATAGACTTAATCTCTCTTTTCCTCATGCATATAATAGCAATGTTTATGGGGTCCATCTTAGACGGTTATCGTGAGGTTTCAATGGGACAATTTCAAAAGCCGTAGCAGAAAGTCTCAGGCACATAGCGAGGGCTTAATAAATGGTTAATTTTGTATCACTAGGAGCATGAGGCCTCCCACAGCGAGTGCCTCCTGGGGCTGGTGTGGGGAAGGTCCACTAGTGTCCCACTATCTTCACAAGGGACCCTGAGTGTCACCCCTAATCTCCCATCCTCCACCCTCTGCTGCCACAACCAGGCTCGCAGGATAAAGTGAGTAAATGTTTATTATGTCCTGGGCCCAGATACCTTCCACCCAAGTGCCCTGAAAAGCACTATTATTCCCACTTTACTCAGGCAGGTACTAAGGCTCAGAGAGGTACAGTGATCTGCTTGACATCACACAGCTCACGAGTGGTGGAGCATCTTGGTTTGACTCCAAAATAGTTCTCTTTTTACTGCACCATTCTGCACTTCTCTCCAGCTACACTTCCTCCCTAGGCTCAGAGTCTGCTCCTCTCCAACAACCTGGACAGAGTTTAGCAAACACAGGGATAGCAGAAGAGCAGAGCTGAGCTCTGGTCACTCTGCTCCAGGTCCTGACCTCACGTTTTTTGAAAGGGATCCAAGGAAGGAAGGAAAGAAAAACTCACATGCAGCTCGTGTTTCCGAGGTCACTGTGTTATATACTCTTTGTATATCATGTCCTATTTAATCCCCTCGGCCATCCTGTAAGGGAGGTATCATCGTCCCCACTCCATAGACAGGACCTCCGGAAGCTGGAGAGTACCTAAGTTACCTTCCCAAGGTCACACAGATAGTAAACAGGTGGCAGAAGGACACATAGCCAAAGAAAGGACATTGACATACTTGGAAAGAAACACCAGAGCAAACATAAAAAAAAAAAAATAGGATTTGAGTTTGCACAAAGATACCAGGAAAACAGCGTTTACACCTGTGACCTTAGGAATCAAAGGCTCTGGGTGCATCCTGAGAGTCTCAGAAGGTAAGCTCGTGGCAAGGCTGGGTGATCTCACCAAAGGGGCACAGAGCAAGTTCAAGTGCACCAGGTGGGGAAGCCTGACTCTCCTCGGAAGCACCCAAATGGCCGAGGCCCCTCCGCTCCATGGTGACAACCAGGACGGCTTGCCTGGACCCTCACCGCATCCACTCCCCACACGCCAGCCTCATTAGAACTAGGCACTGGCAGATGTCCTGATTTCTTTTCCCATTAAAGAAAAATAACATAAAACACAATACAATTCTGCTTGGTCCAAAAACCTGCTTATTAAAACTCTACTTTTGGAAAGAGAGAGAGAGAGAAAAAAAAGTGGTCTGATTCCCTATGGAATGGTCTCTGTTATGGCTAATTTTGATGGCTGGAAAATAGAATTAGATGCCTGTTTCTAATTCAATGTACGGTGTCTCTGGGCCCTGCATTAATAAGGAAGATGGAAGAGGATCTCCAACCAAGCTCTGAGCTGCATTTCCCTTCAGTCCCTGGTTTCTTCGTTCTTTGATTAGATTTTAATCCTCTTTGCCCTTGAACTTCTCCTCTTCTGCCCACCTTATTTCCCTGGGCCCTGGTAGGTGGGGCCCGAGTCCCTAGGCAGCCTCAGTGGGTGAGTTAAGTAGAGGCAGCGCTGCATGACTGAGGCATCTCGCCTGGGCTGTGTGGCCTGGCCCCCATGGCCCTTGGGCAGGCTCATCCTCCTCAGGATCATGTCTGTGCTCAGCCATCCCGCACCCTGCTCAAGGGGGCAAGGGGACACACTGCTCCAGAGACATCTCTGCCCTTCAAAGGACACCATATGTGCCAGGCAGAGGCTGCCCTGAGCTGCGGCTCTGGGGTTGTTTGTACAGACCAGGAGGGCAGGAGGGGCCGTGGAGGACGAAATCCCAAGTCAAAGGGCCTGAGTTAGAGGCTCCGTTTGCCACGTACCACCTGTGTGATCGCAAGCAAGCCCCTTACCAGCTCCAAGACTCTGTTTTCTTGGCTCTAGAATGACTAGGGAGGAGGGAGATACAATGGCAAAATGTAAGTGAAAATGCTTTGCCATCTGCAAGGCAAGTCAAAGAATGTCATGATTCCAAGGGAAAGAGCCCTGGGCTAGGAAACAGCAGAATCTGGCAGAGAGCTCAGCGTGCAGTAGATGCTCAGCAAACGGCTGAGCAACTTCCTTGCCAGGAAGAACTGAAGTGGACAGAACAGGGCTCACCCTATGAGCAAGAGGCACTGTGGCTAGACACAAGAAAGAACTTCCCATCAGGGTGGTGAGACATCGGGCCCTGCACTAAGGAAGGCAGCAGGAGGATCTCTGCCAACTGAGATTTGCAGCCTGTCCTCTGTCTCTTTACCATTCCTGCTGTACGCATGGGGCGCACCAGTTCAGTCCTGTCCTAGTGGGCTTGTGATAGAAATTTCCAGGGGGAGAGTCCTTGGTTTTGTTCCACCGTACAGTGGTTCGACGATGCTAAGCGGGGCAGGGCCACCTGCTGGAATGCCATGTTTCCCAACTCTGTTCTGTCAGATACTAGCATTTTGTGGGCTTTTCGATCAGCATCCTTTTGGGACTTATGGTCAATCCTATTTGGAAGAGATGAAGTAAATAATTGTTTTGGCCACAGGACAACTCAGAGTATCTGTGCAAATGCGTGCTGTGAATCTCCATGAAGGGGAACCAAGATGAAGTGTTTATCCAAACATTTCTCCTTTTTATTTTTTATTTTGGCCACAAAACACTTATCATGTAAAGCAGTGCTGTCCAGTAGCACGCTCTCTGATGATGGAAATGCTCAGCGTCGGCATTGGCTGTCCTCGGGTGGCCAATGAGACTGAGGAGCTGCATTAAGGGTTTAACTTTGACTTGGGGAACCCATGGGCTCGTTGTAATAATTAAATAAACTGTATAAAAAATACACGTGGTTGGGGCTCAGTTACTCTGTTTCTTGGGGAGCACCGAGTAAATCTTAAATCTGTATTAATGCAAATAAATGAATGAATGCTCATCACAGGGAGGCAGTTGGGTGCAAATGTCTGGCAAAGAAGGCATTTTGGGGCACCTGGGTGGTTCAGTTGGTTAAGCATCTGCCTTCAGCTCAGGTCATGATCCCAGGGTCCTGGGATGGAGCCCTGCATCGGGCTCCCAGTCATGGGGGCGGGTGGGGGGGGAGTCTGCTTCTCTCTTTTCCTTTGCCCCTCCCCCTGCCTGTGCTTTCTCTCAAATAAATAAATAAAATCTTAAAAAAAAAAAAAAGAAGGTGGTTTTGACCCTTGATGAGGAGGGGCTTTTATTTACAGATGCTGTAGGGCTGCCAGTGGGGAGAAAGGACTTAGGCAGGCACAGCAGTGCTGAGAACCCATATAAGCAGGAGCCCTGGTGGAGATGACATCTGTCTGCCAGCACAGCCCACCCAGAGCTGTGGGCACAGGGACAGCGGTGCCTGGGGGTTTGGACGCGGGGCTCCAGGGGCCAGGGGCAGCCAGCACCTGCCTGACCACATGTGGGTGCACAGCTGTCACCGGGAGCATCCAGATGCACAGATTTGCTAGATAGTGCTGCCTTGAATTAGCTAAATCTCATAAACACTGAATTTATGTTACAAATTGTCTGAGAGTCAGAGAAACCGTATTTCTAAAACGTGCATTTGTGAAAAAAAAAATGCTTTATCAGGAATTGCCCTTGGACCTTGTTCCATCAGCAAAACCCGCTCTCCAGGGGAAGAAGCTCTTCAAGCCATCAAGTACAAAATGCATCCAATTTTACATTTTCCCTCTCTCTCTCTCTTTTTGTAGCTCCTTAACAATGAGGCTAAAAATGTGGGAATTGAGTTTGCAGATGCAAAAAGCCTTGGAGGTTGGCCAGTCTCCCTGTAACCCAGTTCTCTCAGCTCCGCCCATGCCTGGCAAAAGGTGTTCCTGGACTGCTCTCTTGCTCGCTCTCTCCCTCTCTATCTCTCTCTCTCTCTCTCTCTCTCTCTCTCACACACACACACACACACACACACAGACACACACACACACACAGAGGGGGGCCTGGGGGGTTCAGTGGTTGAGCGTCTGCCTTGGGCTCAGGTCGTGATTCCAGGTCCTGGGATCGAATCCCACATCGAGCTCCTTGCAGGGAGCCTGCTTCTCCCTCTGCCTATGTCTCTGCTTCTCTCTCTGTGTCTCTTGTGAATAAATGAATAAAATCTTAAACACATACACACAGAGGCAAATAGCTAAGGACAGATGGGAATGCCTGACCTGCTGGTCATCACCCCCCCACACCACCCCAGGCATCTGACCGGCCCTCCCCTTCTGGGTGCATCCCAGCCAGGGGCCAAGTCCACAAATCCACAAGCCCCGCCCTGGCCTGTGGGGCGGAGCCACGGGGGGCGGAGCTTACATTCTGCTTTGGCACAGATGAGGCAGGCGGTGGTACAGTTGAAGAAGTTCAGGATCCCAGCTACAGCCACGCTGATGTCCGTGTTGCTGGGGTGGAGGTTCAGGGTTGTGAATCGCTGGAACTGGAACTTGATAAACTCCTCTGGGGCCACTTTGAAATGAGGGACCTGGGAGGAGGAGCAAAAACATGGGCAGCAGGAGGGATCCAGAATGAGTAAAAAGGAGGCCAGGCTGTAGACAGTGGAACCTTCTAGGTAAGAGATCTTTGCCAAGGGGGGAGATGGAGCTTGCAGGACTCAGGACACCCTCGCCCGAGGAGGAAGACAAGATGACGTCTTGGATAATGCTTAAAATAGGAACACCCCGATGAGAACCCCATGGGCCGGAGACCTGTGTTAATGTACTTTGGAGCTGGGGTCTGGGGCCTTGAGGGGGCAAAACAATAGGTCTTTATTCCCAGAGCAACTGCCCACTGCTAGGCAGTGAGACAAAAGGCTCTCAGAGGCATAATCCTTATGATATTTTATTTGTAGTTAATAAATCAGAGCAGAAGGCAACTGAAAGAGAGAAATACTGCCCCAGGGATTAAGACAGGAGCCCCGTCAGCCCAGCCTAGCCGACAAGTGTATAAACCGGCTCCCAACAAACTTCGGATGTGACCTCCTGGGATGGGCTCCTGCACACACACACACACACACACACACAGCAGGAGCGCCGCAGGCCGAGTAGCCACCCAGAGTGCCTCTGAGTGGAGCCAGGTAAATAAAAACCTGCTCTGGCTTCATCAGGACAGTGTCAGCTTCCCTCTGCATCTATTACTGACATTTCTGGGAGGCGCTGCCCCTGCCTCCTGCCTTCCCTTCCCTTCTCCTGGGAAGAGATAGTAACAGGCTGCGATGCTGCTCTATTGGCAGCGTAGGCCACTGGGTAGGTAATAGGAAAATTAAAGCGTAATAAGCTGCCATCCACCTTGATTTTATTTTGTTACCCTCATCCCTGGTACCCGGAGCCAGGAGAGCCGAAGGCTACTTGGCGCCTCTATTGTTGAAGAAGGACTCCAGAAACCTCAAGCCTTGTCCTCGCTCAGGACCGGTGTGCCACGGGAGGGCCCAAGCTACAGCGAGCATGGGTTTGGAATGATGTTAAAGCAAGTAAGATTGAGAGTAGACAGCAGGAAGAACTTCCTGGTGGTGAGTCTGTTGGCTCCTGGAGTAGGTTATTCAGAAACAACTGCAGAAATTGTCCTTGCCTGGGCTGGCCCAGTGTCTGGGATGATGTTGCAATGATGCCTGTAAGATTCTGCACCTTGTCCTTTTAAGATTCTGGGAGAGGTCAGCCAGAGACCAGGGCTCTTCTGAGGTTAGAGAGGGGCAGATAGGAGGGTAGAGAGGAGGGAGGGAAGGGAAAGATTTAGCAGAAACTAGGGAGAAAATTTCTGAATTCAACTGGGATTAGCCCTTGAACCACAGAGAGAGGGCAACCAATATTTTCCAGCAGACTCTGAAAAATGTGGAGCTGGAGAGAGCCTGGTGAGTTATGAGAGAAGACTCAGAAGAGTGAGGTTGATCTAAGGAGTCATAAAAGGTCTTTCCTCCTAGTTTTTATTGTGCACCCCATACAATCCATCTGAAAAGAATAGCAGGTGTACCTTGAAAGGAAAAACAGGGTACAAAGGGGCAAGATGGAGGCCCAGGCCAGGCAGGGGCAGGGTGATCAGGCTGATGCATTTGAGCATCTCTGACCCAGGCCTTCCCTGTGTGGCCATCCAGTCTCCATGGCTCCAGCCAACACATCCACAACAGAACGAACCCTTAGAGACACCCTTTAATCCACAGACCCTAGAGACAGAGCAGGAAAATGAAGGAGAAAAGGGGTTTTATAGGTTATAGACTTGGGTTTGCATCCAGGTTCTGCTGTGTGATTTGGGGCCAACTGCTTAACCTGTCTATGCTTCCTAGGGATAACAATGGGTGCTTCGTGGATCTCCGGGAGGATAAAATGAGAGCCTGAGTATGAAGGACGTAATAGCTCAGGACCTAACGTGTCATAAGGGTTCCTGCAATGCCTCTCTCCTCCCCTTCCCTCTTTATCCCCAAATCTAGGGGCTTCTCAGAAAGCTCCTGAAGCTGTCTGTGCAGGGCAGTGGGGGAGGAAGGGCCCCTCTAGGAGGTGGAGCTGGTGGGAAGTCTCCAGCACCGCCTGCCATCTTGAAGGCTGCCATCATCCAGCTGCTCTCTGATGGGCCCAGGCAGGGATGGCCCAGGCCAATCTCACTGATTCTCTTCTAGGACAAAGATCAATCTATAATTGGTCTGCAATCGCATCCCAGCAAGGCACTGAGTAGGTGTGGGGCGTGGGGAGGAGAGGTGAGGCAGAAAGCAGCCGGCCACAGGGCTACAGAGATGTTAGCAGCATTTAAAGGAATGAACTTCTTGGTGGGAACTCCATTTCTTTTCCCTGGAGTGGAGGCAAATCAGTGTGAGCCAGTTCAGCCTCATAAAATATGAACAGAAATGCATAATCTGAATGGAGAGGAAAGGTTGCTCTGGAAGGGATATGACCAGACAAAGGAGGAGTATCGGGCTGGCTGTTCCCTGGGCAGCACGACCCGGCTGGCTGGTCAACGGCATGGGGGCCAGGGTGGCAAGGTGGGGAAGACGGTTGTAAACCGGGGTCCCTGCCTCTGGCCTGCAATGCCAAACGGGATTAAGGATTACATGTTAGCTGAGATCAAACAGCCACTGAACCCCACGAGGAGGCCATTCTGGAGTCCCACTCCTGGGGGACTGGGGGATGGCTGTGAGGAACAGTGAGGCAGTGTGATGGTGGGGAGAGAGAAGAGAAAAGAGGAAATGGGGAGCTGAAGTCTTGGCAACCTCCCTTGGTAAAGATCCCAGGGCCGGTTGGAATAACAGCCTGCCACAGATCCGAGCTGCTACTTGGAGAGTGGCAAGAAAGACTGGAATTAAACATCAGCTCTAAGCTCCTGGGGCCGAGGCCTGGGAGATGGGGGTGGAGGGGATGCAGGAGGAGCAGAAGCTCCTTTTTGTGGCCTGGGATGGGTCCAGGGTCAGCTTTCAGGACCTCTGAGGGGGCTGGGATGGAGAGCTGTCAACAGAGACCTGGCCCAGGGGCAAAAGGCTCAGGGGGCTTGGCCTACAGGGCAGTGGCCCAGCAGTTGGGAGCAAGAGCACCCACGGGACGGAGGCAGGGCTGTCTGACACTTTAAAAGTGCAGGAAACAATTCTGAGAGTGGTTCATGAACCAGGGAAGATAAATATCCTGCCCCAAGCCTCAGGGGGACTCGCCAAGCCCTCCGATCATAAGAAAAGTAGTGGCGTGGGGGGGCAGGCACCCCCTCAGAGGGCATGGGGTACGCAGCAGCCTATCTGTTGTTCTGCTGCCTTTTACAGGGGCGGCTTGCTGAGGGGGCGTCTGTCCTGTGGTGGGTTTTGTCCTCTCTCTAGAATCAGATCTTCCCAAAGCTAACATTTCTGGAAGGCTGAGCCTCCAGGCCCCAGAACAGGTGCAAGACTGACCCTTCCCTGCCCCTCCCCACCAGCTCCTGACCTTGCACCTCCCACCACCAAGCTCATATGTTCTCGAAAGACCTGGTGGGCTAGAAGGCCCTCATTGAGACCAGAGAGGGGCCAAGGGGTTATTTGGCTGCTGTTCCCCATGGATTTTTGTGAAAGGGAAGACAGATAGATTCTAGGAGAAGCGAGGAAGGTTTCCAGCAACGAGTTAACCACCAAATAAACTTTTGAGCCTATTTTCTCCAGGGGAGGAGGAGGGAAAGAGCTGATGGAACAGGGAGCAGGCTATTACTCAGAAACTCATCCCCGCCTGTCTTTATCCCCATGGAACTGGAGCCAGAAGAAATGAACTCCACAGTGAAACCAGAGTGGCTGCGGGTCGAGGTGACACCTGCGCTCGAAGAATTCAGTGATGGAAGAAATAAGCACTGGAACTGGTGAATGGGGAAGAAAACTCAAGAGAACTTTTTTCTAGTGAATTTATAAAATGGAGGTTTCAAACTTTATTTTAGCAATAAAATGTAGCAGTGCCTCCCCCACCCCCCACCCCAAGGGTATTCTCCGCCAGAGTCCCTGTATCTGAACAGATAGTCAGTCGCGAAGCATCTCCTGGGGAGCTCAGACTTCTGTCCTCTGGGTGTCCCCAGAGGGGACCAGCCTCTATAGCCTCCCCCTCCACCCACCCGCCGTGGGGCCCCCGAGCGACTCAGAGACCCAGAGGAGCTCAGTTTGAAAATCCTGTTGCAAAACCTCTCTTCTGTGTCTCCTCCACCAAACCACCTGGAGGAAAGTACGTGCCCAACAAAGAACCACTTCTTTTCACTGTTTTCATATTGTTGTTGTTATTGGCAACACCAACCAGGCCCACATGGGCTCTTGCAGACCTTGAGAATCCAGGGGCTGCCAGGGTCCCCCAACCTGATGGAGCACTCACCTCCTTCTCCCCACAGATGTTGCTGATGATGGAGCTGGAGGCCGGGCTGGAGGAGGGTCCCAGGACAGCGACCACCCCCTTGGGGAGAATCTGACACACTGCAGCAACAGGGAAGAAAACAAGGCCCTCATCAGGTGAGATGTGGGCCGGGTGCCCTGCCTGGGTTTTGTGGGTTTTGGGCTCAAGTCCAACCTTCACTCGCTGGATCCTCACCTTCCGCTCCCCTCTCGGCCTCCTTCCTCCACCCCCACCCCCCCCAACCCTTCCAAACCCAGTGCCTCTCCTCTTCTGGACTATGGGACTCCGGGATGGTTTTATTGGAGTTTATGGATGGTATTAAATGAGGAAATGACCCAGGTTATGACAACATACGGCCGCAGCCAAAAGGGTGTATAAATTGTCTTGGCTGTCACTGAAGGACAGAGGCTCATGGTGGAAACCTGCAGGTTCCATCCTGCCAGGCCTGCAGCGTGGGTGTCGGGAGCCTAGGCACCCAGCTCATGGAACGGTCACCTGCTGTGCAAGCTGTTAGCCTCTCAAGTATAAAGAGGAAGGGGAGGAAGAAAGGCAGATGAGCAGAGGGACAAAGGGTGGCAGGGATGATGCAGGCAGAGAGGAGAAATCAGACTGAGCTAAAGTCAAAGGGAGGAGAGACATAAGAAGAAAAAGGAAATGAGAGGCAGAAAAAGAGAGTGAGAGGCAAGGAGGGGGGTCTCATGTCTCAAAGCTACCCTCCGCCACTCGTGTTCACCTAGACCCCTGCGTGGTGCACCTGCTTCCCGGAGCATGTCGGGCTTCCCGGTGGAGAAGAGGCCCTTTCTTCCTCTACTCTGGACACTCACTCTCCTGTCAAAGAGCACCTCAAATGCCTCCTCCTTACACCTTCCCTGGTTCCTCTATGTGGAATTAATCTTCTCCAGGGCCCCTGGTGTGTCCCTCTGTACTAAGACTCTTATAAATGTGCCTATTTCCGTTTGTTGCTTCGATGTCTTTCTGCTCCCACTAGATTTCCAACCCTGAAAGGGCAGGAGCTGAGCCTTACTTCTCTCTAAACCCCCACCTCTCAATTCTTCAGTGGCCAGCACCGGGTTGTCTAGGTGGCCAGTTCATATTCACTGAATGAACAAGTGGCTGGATGGGCTCTGTGCTCAGAAGAGAGGAGAGAATCTCAGATTTTAAAACATGGAAGAAGAAGGAGGTGACAGAACTTGAGATAATTCTCAGGACATACACTCTAGTAGTATCAGAGCCCAAGAGCTACCCCTCGGAATATGCAGTGAGGTTCCCTGACATGCTGCAAGGCAATCTTCCCTGCAAAACTCAAAGCTTGACTCTGGACACATTTTCTTCGTACTCACGTCAAGGGTCAGGATGAACCATTTCCCAGGTCAGTAAACCGAGATTAAGGGAGCAGCATGAGGCTGAACTGGCTGCAAAGCCACTCCTGCACCCTCGATGTTCTTTTTTTTTTTTTTAATTTTTATTTTATTTATGATAGTCACACAGAGAGAGAGAGAGGCAGAGACACAGGCAGAGGGAGAAGCAGGCTCCATGCACCGGGAGCCCGATGTGGGATTCGATCCTGGGTCTCCAGGATCGCGCCCTGGGCCAAAGGCAGGCGCCAAACCGCTGCGCCACCCAGGGATCCCTAGATGTTCTTTCTCCTAGGGTAGGGTCCTGACCACTGGCCCACACGGCCACGTGATCGCCCTCATGGGGTCCAGGTGGTGGAGAGAGCCTCAGAGTCCCAATCCCAGTGTTACAGTTTGCCACACAAACCACAGGTCTGCAAGCTCTTCTCCCAGCCTGAGGCTCCGGCAGGGATCCTGCCTTGCCACGGATCTCAGCTGGTCAAGAGGCCATGGGCCATGGGTACCAGACAGGACCTCATCTATACTGTGTCAGAACCATTCCCAGTGACAAAGTAGGCACGAGCAGGCTCCATTCCTGACACCACTTGCCAGGTGCAAGCGGTGTCCACATAAGTGAGCTCACGAGATCTCAGCCAGCTTCACTCTCACTGCTGCTAGATGTCCCAAGTCCATTGGCCATCACACTATGACAGCTTCAGGGGTGGGTCTCCCTTCCTGATTTTACCAATAAGGAAACAGCACCCAGGGGATGTTCAGTGACTCCTCCAAAGTCACGTACTTTGCACAGGTCAGAGCCAGCATCGGAATTCAAGTATGCTGGCCCCATCCTGCCTGGTGCTCATTCTGCTCTCTCGAAGCCACCCACCTCCCTGCGGCCACCTCATGTATCCCCTCCCACCCCTCCAGTCCAGGTCCCCATCTCTTTCTCCTGAATCTGCTCCCCAAGGTCATCAGCGACTTCTGAGCGATGCTCATCCTACTCTATTTTCACCGCATTTGATGCTATTGATGGCATTGCTCTTTTGAATTCCCTACCACCCTCCAGCCCCCATTCTTGTCTGCTCCTCTGGCCAGTCTTCTTCACTTCCTTTGCCAACTCCTCTTCCTCCTCCACCTGATGAATCCAGGTTTGATCCCTGCCTCCTTCTCCCTGGGCAACCTCACCCTTGCCTTGACCTCCACTCTCGTTCCTGCCCAGGTGACCCTGCACTCTGACCTATGCCCTGGGTTACAAAGTCCAGTTTCAAGCACCTGATGGACATTGCCACAGGGACTTGGCTGTGGTGTCACCCTCACCATGTCCACGGCAGAGAGGCGCATAGTCATTAAGAGCATGGCCTCTGATGCAAGGCTGCCTGGCTTTGAGTCCCAGCTCTGTCATTTCTAGCTGGGACACCCCAAGGAAGTTATCAAACCTCTCTGGGCTGCTCCCTCATCTACAGAACTGGGATTCTAACAGTAGGGTAGTGGGAGAATTAAAGTGAATTAATGCACACAGTGTTTAGAATGGCACTTGACATGCCACACAGCCTTATTATGCCCACGGCATCACGTGTGCTTCTCATGATCTGATTTGACCTTCACACTTCTAGGCAGAAGAGTGTTATTTGCCCCTCTTCAGAGATGGGGAAACAGGCCTAGAAAATTTACATGACTTGTTCAAGATCACAGGTAGGACATGCCAGAGCTGGGCTTGAACTCAGAGATCCATCAGGCACAAAGCCCAAGCTCTGAGAACCACTCTACTTCACCCCACTTCACTCTATAGGCTCCAACTCAAGTCCCCTGTGACTCTTCCTTGGTTTCTCTCACTGAATCCACTCACTATACCCATTAGCAGCCAGATTCCAACCCCTTGACCTGCTAGCCCACCATCCCCTCCTTTCCACTCCCATTGTGATGGTTCTAGAACAGCCCCTTTTCTCCACCTGCCCCCTAAGGGGTTTCTCTGTCTCTGGAATTCATCATTTCCAATCTGTTCTCCAAACCATGAGACAAATTATAATCCCCAAACACAGGTGTATGTGCTACTGCTGGGCAGAGAGCCTGTCTTATTTACCTCTGTGTCCTCCGTACTGAGCACAGGGCCTGACTCTGAGTTGTGTGCTCAGTAAATAGTTGCTGAACCACAGTGAAGCCTGCTCAACATTTTCCATGGAAAATTGGAAATGAGCTAAGGGTCCAATTATAAGGGACTACTTTACCTAAAGTGTGGGTCATATACCCACATGAAATATTATTTAGGTGTTTAAAGTGCTTATGAACAGTTTATAACAGTATTAAAAATATTTATGAAATAATATTAAGAGAAAGAAGCAGGATATAAAATTATACGTATATCTACAGAAAGGCCACATCTAAGCAAATCCAAAAAAGTTATGCGCTCAGGATAGAAGATGCTATAAAAGCCCATGTTTACCAAGTGCTAATTATGGCCCATTCTGAGCACTTCATATGAACAGATCTATTAAATTCTCAGAACAACCTGATGAGATAGGAACTATTACCGTCAACTTCATTTTACAGATGAGAAAACAAGACAAAAAGGGTAAAGGTTGGAATCAGGATTCACACCCTCCATCCCTGGCCCCGGGGTCGGCACGCTCACCCCTGTCCTGTGAAGCCTCCCATGGCTCACAGCTTAACCGGATGGTCATGGGGATTGCTTGGGCCAATTCGACACTGAATGGCTCCCCCCACCGCCTTTTTTTCCCTTTATTTTCTATAACGAGCATCAATTCCTTTTATAACATGCCATTATAAAAGATAGGATGCCGTAAGAAAAGATTCTTCTGAGAGGTGAGTAAAATCCAAATGTGTGATCTCAAGATGCTACCACCTTTCCAGCCCTTCTTCCTCCCATCGTGCTGCCGGCTGCCTCACACCAGCTCACCCGGAGCATGCTTCTAATTCTCCTCCTTGAGCCTGTTCCCAGGTAGTTCTCTCTGACCAGACCAGGGATTCTTCACCTGCTGCCTCAGATCTGGGGGTAGAAGTCAGTGGTCTACGAACACTTTGGGGAAAAAAGTGACATCACTATTGTTTTCTCCTAATTTAATCTGGCATTTCCTTCACGTTTAAACACAAGCAATAAACCAGAGGCAATAACGGTACCTGTAACTTCGTGACCTACAAGCATCACAAATGTTTTCCTGTGACACTACAGTGCTACAGATAATCTTAGGAGATCATTTATATTATTATTTCAAACTTTGGCTAGCAGTTGGACCTATTGCTAGGCATGGCTATTTAATACATTAATAAAGAAGCACATTTATAATACGTCATTATAAATATATTTTAACTGCATTTCCATATGGCTGGTTTCTTTGGTCATCCTATTTTATTTTATTCATTTAAAAACACTTTTCTGGGCAGCCCGGGTGGCTCAGCGGTTTAGCGCCGCCTTTGGCCCAGGATGTGATCCTAGAGACCCGGGATCGAGTCCCACGTCGGACTCTGTGCGTAGAGCCTGCTTCTCCCACTGCCTATGTCTCTGCCTCTCTCTCTCTCTCTATCTCTAATGAATAAGTAAATTTAAAAAATAAAAAATAAAAATAAAAACACTTTTCTGTGAGGCACCTGGGTGGTTCAGCTGGTTCAGTGGCCAACTCTTGGCTTTGGCTCAGGCCATGATCTCAGGGGGTCTGCTTGAGATTCCCTCCCTCTGTCCCTCCCCCTGCTCGTGGGTACACTCACGTACACACACTCTGTCTCTCTCTAAT